TAACGGAACTGAACTAACAATGAACGTGTATTTTAATTAACTAATGTTATTTTATTATTGTATATTTAAATGATCACATTTATTTATTTATTACATTATATTTAATTATAATTATTATGTATACTTACATTACATATACTTACTACTAACATAATTATATTAATACATCATCTGAAAGCTGAATAAATAATCTTTCCATTGATGTATGGTTTGTTAGGATAGAACAATATTTGGCTGAGATACAACTATTTGAAAATCTGGGCAGACGCTGTTGTGACCGAGACGAGGCTGCAGGATCCTACAGGAGAAACAGTTCAGATCAGGTCAGTCAGAGAAATACATGTTGTGTTCCTCTCTGATTCATGCTGTACCTCGCCGGTGAGCGCTTGGGAATCACCTTTGTCTTCTTTGCTTGCCTGAGAACAAATGAAATCAGTATCTGATGATGTGTGTCTGATGCATTACTAGCGTCCAACTGGGATCCTTCAGAGCTTAAAATGCGAAAACAACACTAGACGCTCCATTATAATAAATGTGTGTAGATATAATAAACAAAACATGCTCATTCAGACTGACACTACGTTCATATTTGTGCAGTCAATTTATTTAGCCACTTAATTGAATTTATTCAAGCCATTATGTCCGGAATTATTTTAATTACAAATATCGGTAATACTTTAGACTAGGGAACACTTATTCACTATTAACTATGACTTTTCCCTCAATAAATTCCTTAATATTAACTCTCCAATTAATAGTTAGTAAGGTAGTTGTTAGGTTTAGGTATTGGTAGGATTAGGGATGTAGAATAAGGCATTAATATGTGCTTAATTAGTACTAATGGCTAATATTCTAGTAATATGCATGCTAATAAGCAACTAGTTAAGAGACCCTAAAATAAAGCGTTACCTGAATATCATACACTGGAGTCCGAATGTCTGAGAGAACATTGCGAAAATTCAGTTTAATCCTGTAAATGAGATTTATTATTTTTTTCTGTTAATATCAATTGAAATGAAATGTATTAAATGAGTAAAATTATGTTGACACATTTTTAAAAAGTTCTATCTGTTAACATAAGTTAATGCACTGACACTGTATTTCTGTTAAATACTATTAACAAAGATGCTATAAAAATGCTCTTAAAAATGTATTACTGATTGTTAATTCATGTTAGATAATGCATGAATGCTAACAAATGAGAGCTTATTGTAAAGTGTTACCGAAATTATGAATTTACTTCAAAAACATTTAACAATCTTAGTTGATGTTAATTTCAACATTTTCTAATACGTTATTAGAAATAAGTTATATCTGTCAATATGTAACGGAACTGAACTAACAATGAACGTGTATTTTAATTAACTAATGTTATTTTATTATTGTATATTTAAATGATCACATTTATTTATTTATTACATTATATTTAATTATAATTATTATGTATACTTACATTACATATACTTACTACTAACATAATTATATTAATACATCATCTGAAAGCTGAATAAATAATCTTTCCATTGATGTATGGTTTGATTGCTACAAATATACCTGTGCTGCTTATGACTCTTTTGTGCTGCAGGGTCACATATTATGAACAAAGACTTCTGGTCAGGTAATGTGTCAGTTGTGCAATCATTCGTGTCTCAGATCAGATGAAACACAGCCGTTCTCACCTCTGAGTCTTCCTGTCCAGTGTCTTCTGAGTGGCCGAGGACAGAATCCGTGTGTTTCCAGGACTGTCTTTGTCCTGCTCAGAAGGAAGTGATGTCAGTACTATGTGTGTACAACGATATGTGTGTGTGTGTGTGTGTGTGTGTGTGTGTGTACCATGTCTCTGAGTGTCCTCTCTCTGCGTATCTCTCGGTCCTGCTGCAGTAGTCAGTCTGTCTGTCACAGGCCACACAGTGAAGATCTGATGGACGTCATGCAGCGCTGATCCCAGCTGTGACACACACACACACACACATGCAACGAGAGTCACAGATAATGCTCTGCAGGTGTGTGTGTTAGCTTAGAAGTTTTTGTGTGAGCCAGAACATTCTGGAGATCGTCTACATGTCCTTGGTGGAAAGTATGCTGACCTATATTAGACCTGACATGCTGACCTATATTATAACTAAAATATAACATCCTGGTATGGGCACTTGAACTGTAAACAGAAAAATACACTAACTAGAGTCATTAATATAGCGAGTAAGGTCATTGGCAAGCCACAGAGAACCCTGAACCAGGTGTATATTTCAAGGTGTGTTAGGAAAGCTGAGTGCATTTTGAAAGATGCTACACATCCTTATAAAACGGATAGTTCCGGTGCTTGATTCTGATTGGCTGAGCCGCGTTCGAAGCTGTTGTAAATTACTCTACAAACATACACCTTTGTTTGCTCGGCAACCACTTTGTAGCAACCACAACTGTTTCTGAGGAGCTACATTGTTTGGTGGAAGAATACTGTTTTTATTAATATCATTACACTTTATTTGCTCTGTTTTATTTTGTGAAACCTAACTACGTATATGGAATAACCGTTTTATAAAAGCAAGAAGCCCCGTGAAGCCGTGGTTTACAGTGAATTTATAACAGCTAAGGGGGTATAACAGCTTCTTGGGGCTTATTGCTTTATTTGAACGATCAGTTTGTCTCATTGCCTTCTAGAAGACATTATTTAATGCCCAGGGCAGAGAGAAACATGTATAAGAATTAATTTATACCTGCAGTAATTGGATATTTGAATCAAAACACTAAGGTGGAATGATCTGATATGTTTTTTTGATATTTGTGTGGTTTTAATGTTATGTATGTATTGCTGAGAATAAAGTTGTATTGGATTGGATTACCTGAGCTGTGACGCGCTGATATAAGCACAGATCCTGATGGGAGACGGAGACTCTCTTCAGCTGGGAATCCGTCTGGAACGATCGAATGAAATCCCTGGAGTCCTGAGAGAACATTCACAAGCCTGACTGACAACAGCTCTGATGCTTAGGACATACATTCGTGTGTGTAGTGAGTGAATGAGTGAGTGTGTGTGTGTGTGTGTGTGAACGTCCTCCTGTACTCACTGACTCTGGCCATGATCATCATTCAAGTGCGTAATACACTGCAACATCAAAACTGTGTTTCAGTTCAAAATAAAGACTTGCATTTTGTGTTTGTATGAATTATACTGAAGGGTCCAAAAGCCTGAGACCATTGAAGTTTTTTTTTTAATCTTTAATTTAAAGCAAATATTTCATATTTAAACAAAAAATTTGTGGGGGGGTTTCAGTTCACATTTTAAATTTGAAAAGAGTACAATATATAATCAATGATTTATTGCTTTCAGACATTTAGACTCACTTTACGTGCCGATGATGATTTGACTTATAGACCTTCAGACTGACTTACAGCTTCTATCAATGGAAGACAAACTTCTTATACTGAACTATGAAAAGTTTTAGTTAGCAATGGGTGGTTATGGTCTATGCAACACAATTATATAAATAAAAAATAATAATAATTTTTAAAAATCTGATATAACTTTTTTTGGCCTTATGATAACACAAACCAAATTTGAAGATGATCGGATTAAAACCGTAGGAGGAGTTCGTTAAAGTACGAGGCCTGAAAATGGCAAAAACTGCACAAAGATCTTACAGGAAATTCAAAATAACGGACTTCCTGTTGGGTTTCGGATTTTGTACCAAGAGACTTTTTTGTAGGTCTTGGTGTGTTACATGTGTGTACCGAGTTTCGTACATGTACGTGAAACGTAGTTTGAGGGGCACTTTGCTGAAATTTTACAGGTGGCGTTATCGAGCCATTTTGCCACACCCACTTCTGAAACCCATATCAGATGTAAAGTTCTGATTTTTTTCACATGGATAAAACAAATTAAATAAAAAAATATACTACTGCAATATTATACGAAAACATAAAAAAAAAATACTGCAAACAAACCTTACTGCATGTTGCATGTAAATGCATCAGGAAAAAAAAATTATAATTTTTTTATATATATATATATATATATACTTTTTTGCAGCATTAGAGGGTACCATTGAAATCTCAACATTTATGTCTTCCAATAATCCCAGCCGATCAACGTCAGCAACTTTTGTTTGACGACTTTTAAAAATGACGTTTTCTAAAGATAAAGCTGAAAATGATTATCAATAAAACATTAATACAACCTGACGATACTGAAGCAAAAGTAATTTTCAAAAGCATTAGTGGAGAGATACGACAGGTATTAATATCTGACCTCAGAATCACAATCATATACTGCAATAACCACGAAGCAGAGAAAGAGTTCTGAACCTGCATGTTTTATTTGATCTGCACTGATGCTAAAAGTTCACGTATTCAAGAAACAAATACAAATAATCACAATAAAACAAACAACCTCCCGCTTCTGAATCACATCTCGCTTTCTGACAAACAAACACCTTCAGAAGAACAAACCGAATGAAAGAGAGACGAGACTAAACCACACAAACCTACTGATCTCGAGACGCCTCACTGTATAAAAATACTAACACCAGCCAAACAGAAACACAAATATGTAAAATATGCAACAATTTGGACAAGGTTTGGTGGGAAAAATAATTATGGCGGTGAGATTTTCCTGAGTCATATAGTGAAATGAAGCCAAAACCAAAACCTCATTGAATATAAAACATCTAAACGTCATCTGCTGGTACGAGAAAGAAACGGAAATGTATTTGAACTGTTCGTTAGTAGAGATCACAGTCAAATAAAAGATTTCGTTTGGTGTTTCACTCCTTGGCTGAAGTCTGAGAGCCCTGGCCAATCAGAGCAGAGCGCTGAGCTGTCAATCATCGAGTGGGCGTGGCTTCAGGCATCACTATTGCCCAATTTATTTAAATGACTCACAGAGATGAGAAACTGAGGCAAGAAACACGTCAAACTAACAAACTCCATTCAGTGTGTTGTGTTTCTGTGGACGAGACACCAAAAACATCCACTTCCTCCAGAACGATAAAAAGGAAAACAATAGAAGGAGTTGAGTGTGTGATGCTGATGCTATTGCTCGCTCAGCTGCTCTCTCCGTGTTTGGAGGGCTGGTTTGGGGACGGCGTCTGGGAAGGGTGGTTTATCACGGTCACCGGAACCAGACCCTCCAAACCCGCTGCCAGACCTGACGGGAACCTGCGGGAGAGGGCAAAGGTCACCATACAGACAAGTGACACGCACTGGGATGGGATCAGCATGAGACAGAGGGTTGTGAAAATGGGCAGCCAGGACGATGTGTACTGTAACAGTGTTACAATTATTAAAAACAGAAACTATATACTGAAACTATAAAAACAAAAAAGTTTTTGATCATTGAAATAAAGCTGAAATAAAATACAGATATTAGGTGAAAAAAAATGTATGCTGAAATGTTGACTTGTTGCCATAGCAACTAAATAAAATATTACATGAAACAAAACAAAAAACTGAGAAATATCGCCTTAGCAACTAATTGAAAAAAATACAGTAAAATATAATAATAAATAAATAAAATATTTAATTACAAATTTGAATAAAAATGTTGGTTTAAAAATGTAGAAATGTTGTTTTGGCAACTGAATGCAATAAAATAATATTAAATAAAATATTAGATAAAAAAACTTAAACTTAAAAAAACAAAAGTAAATTAGAAATGTTGCAACTAACTGAAAATTAAATAAAATTAAATATTAGATGAAAAAATGCTGTCTTGACGACCAAATGAAATAAAACAAATTGAAGTAATAATATTCCTAAAACTCAAATAGAAATAAATTCAAATTAAAATATTTAAAATAGAATTTTTTTAACATCTGATGAAAATGGGAAATATGGCCTTGGTAACTAATTGAAAAAATACAGTAAAATATAATAAAAATAAATAAATTAAACGTTAAATTAAAAATTTGAATAAAAATGTTGAAGTTGAAAAATGTAGAAATGTTGTTTTGGCAACTGAATGCAATAAAATAACATCAAATAAAATATTAGATGAAAAACTTAAACTTAAAAAACATAAAAGTAAATTAGAAATGTTGCAACTAACTGAAAATTAAATACAATTAAAGATTAGATGAAAAAATGCTGTCTTGACGACTAAATGAAATAAAACAAATTGAAGTACTAATATTCCTAAAACTCAAATAGAAATAAATTAAAATTTAAAATATTTAAAATAGAATTTTTAAAACATCTGATGAAAATGAGAAATATGGCCTTGGCAACTAATTGAAAAAAATACAATAAAATATCATAAAAATAAATAAGTAAAATGTTAAATTAAAAATTTGAATAAAAATGTTGGAGTTGAAAAATGTAGAAATGTTGTTTTGGCAACTGAATGCAATAAAATAACATCAAATAAAATATTAGATAAAAAAAACTTAAACTTAAAAAAACATAAAAGTAAATTAGAAATGTTGCAACTAACTGAAAATTAAATAAAATTAAAGATTAGATGAAAAAATGCTGTCTTGGCGACCAAATGAAATAAAAAAATTGAAGTACTAATATTCCTAAAACTCAAATAGAAATAAATTAAAATTAAATATTTTAAATATAATTAAAAAAAAATCTAATAAAGATGACAAAAGAACATAAGAAAATGACATACTTAAATTTTAAATGAAAAGCTAAAATATAAAAAAAAAATAAAAAATATATAAATAAATACTATAATAGTAAATAAATAATACTAAAATAACACTGGTCTCTAAATGGTCAGATAAAATTATTTTTTTTTTCATTTTTAACTCTCCACTGTGTATTTCTAATTCAAATGTCTATGAACATTTATTAGGGTCAATATTCAGTTCTGTAGCCTATTTATCATTTTATATTTCAATTTATATTTCAATTTTTTTATTT